TTCCCTAAACCTTATTGTCCCTCCTATTTAAGATCAAAGTTATTCTATTCTATACATATCTCAAACTGAAACATAACTGTCTGCGAAAATCATTTTATCCAAAAACTTCTGGGTACCTTTCATCGCCATAAATAATGTAAACTCCTGTTAATGGTTCAGAGCTGCACTTTGGCCTTGTTTTGTGTTGTATTTCTTTCAAATTTCAGAGGAAACAATGTAATGGAAATAGCTACACCTTACAAAAGTGGACGAAAACGCGCAGACTGTCCAGGTCACTGTGACAGAGGACTTTGCAGTAAGTGAATGTATTCCTTACAGCAAACGTTGCATTACCTCAGATAATAATCTTGTTCCTTTGTAAGATTTTACTTTTTCATACTTACTGCTTGCTAATCTGGAGGAAACATCCTAGAACTTCCCCTTTCATTTTCCCCTAGAAATAACACTGGTTAAATACCCCACCAGAACAGGCATAAACAGGGGGTTGGACCAGATGACCTCCGGAGGTCCCTTCCAACCTCAGCCATCCTGTGATAAAGGGTAAATTGTGTTGCTGTCGAGCAATAGGTGCATTATCACACTGTCAGTCTTCTGCTGCTCTCTTCTGGAAAGGTCAAGAAAAAATGTCTTGATGTACATCTACATCTAAGGGCATGAACAGATTGCCAGCCTCCACACATCCCTGTGTGCATGAAGATCTGCACAGGCCCCTGGGTTCTGCAGACCTCCATGTGGAGCATGTTGAAGTATACAAATAGATAGGTACCACCTTTCTGTCTGCATTCCCTTTCCTATAATATTCAAACAATTTTAACAGCAGAGCAAAAACACAAAGACGATATAGACATAAAAATTTGGAGTTTTTGGAAAATGCAGAAATATCAGACCAGGACTTTGTTTTCAATTAATATTTCATGGTTTTGTTTCTGTCATCTTTATTTAGCTAACCCTTGCAAGTATCAAGATTACTTTGGAAACTGCAGAGATCTGAAAAACTTACTTAGCTGTAACCATTCACTGATGAAGGAGAAGTGTCCTGCTACCTGTAGCTGCACCACGCAAATCATATAATATCCTGGTGGATGTCATTATAGCTGCTGTGAGACTTACTTACTAGGAAAGAATAGAACTCACTGTGAAGTGTATTCACTCTCAGTGCATCAGTTCATATAGTCTAACCTATAGGTAACATTCTTTTCTGCAGTCTCACCATTATTTCAGTTCTAAATAAGTCTAGTAGCTCAAATATCCTCTGATGTTATTTTAGACTTTGTAGAAATCATGCTTAATCTATTACTGTGTTACTTTGTGGTTTTCCTTGCAGTGGATCTTCCACTGATTCATTTCTTTTTAATTGGAAACACACTTTTAAAACACTTGAATTTTTTTTTTTTGCAAAATATGATAAATGCTACTAACTATCTACTGTTAGCTTTTCTTTGATTATCAGTTGAATGTATTCCTGCTAAACAAATACATGATTTACCAGCAGTTCATAAACGGAGCTTTTCATTGAACCTATGTATAATTCAATTTTTTAATTTGGAAAATTCCTTATGGGAAGACCCTCAAGGGTCTCTGATACTTCATGTGAGTGGGCATGAGACTGGAAAAGAAAGACAAAGCAAAAAGTGACACATTTTTTTGTACAGCCAAAATAAGAGACACACATTGAATCTGCCAACTATTACTCCGTGGCCTAAACATAAAGCTTCTGATGCATCTATGTATGCAAGCGATAAATGATATTTTTTATCATATGGCACCAACAGCTGAGAAATAGGAATGGTTTTTAAAAGCATTCATACAAAGAAAGAGGTATATATACACCTTTCCATCCTCTCTCAGTCTCACACTTGTTTGGAATTCATATTGCAGCATGTAGAAAAAATACTGATACAAACCAAACGAACAAACAACAAAAATCAGTAGATCCAAGCCCCCAAAAATCCCCATCAAAATATCTGATATTCTCCAGAACATCTCAGGAAACATGTTCGTGCCAATTCCCTTCAGTACACACCTCTAGGATCTCTCCAGAAGGATTAAGTTCAACCTCAGATGGGCCTTCTCCCACCTCTGCTTGCTGGCAGGCCACCAGCTCCTGCCCAGGGGCAAGTTTAGATGGATCTGCTGTGCTTGGTTTCAGCGCCCTGTTATTTCGTGTATCACTTCTAATGATGCATTCCACAGAATCACAGAATCACTAAGGTTGGAAAGGATCTTCAAGACCATCAAGTCCAACCGTTAACCCAACACCACCATGCCCACTAAACCACGTCACGAGGTGCCACGTCCACACGTTTTTTGAACACTTCCAGTGATGGTGACTCCACCACCTCCCTGGGCAGCCTGTTCCCATGCTTGACCACTCTCTCAGTAAAGACATTTTTCCTAATATCCAATCTAAACCTCCCCTGGCACAACTTGAGGCCATTTCCTCTTGTCTTATCACTAATTACTTGGGAGAAGAGACCAACACCCACCTCACCACAACCCCCTTTCAGGTAGTTGTAGAGAGCGATGAGGTCTCCCCTCAGACTAAACAACCCTAATTCCCTCATATGCTTCTCATAAGACTTACTGTCCAGACGCCTCATCAGCTTCATTGCCTTTTTCTGGACACACTCCAGCACCTCAACGTCCTTCTTGTAGTGAGGGGCCCAACACTGAACACAGGATTCAAGGTGAGGCCTCACCAGTGCCGAGCACAGGGGCACGATCCCTGCCCTGCTCCTGCTGGTCACACTATTTCTGATACAGGCCAGGACGCTGTTGCCTTCTTGGCCACCTGGGCACACTGCCGGCTCATGTTCAGCCGGCTGTCAACCAGCAGCCCCAAAACCTTGAGTAAGGTTTTTCATTTCGTATCTTTATGCCCTTTACGCTGCAGGGCATGACTTCAAACGACTGTGTATCTGTGTTCATCCAGAACTGAGGACTTAGGTTTGTTACCTGTCAGTGGCATTGGTTACTTGGAGAAATCTTCTGACTGGTTTAGTGAGGGGTATTATCACAATCATGCCTCTTCAGCTATTGACAATATTATTACATTGATAAAACAGTACTTCATAATCCTCTTCCAGCTTTTTTTAATTTTATAGCTTTTATCTCATCTTTATATTCCTAAAGTTATTAAAAAGGTCGATACAGAGGAAACAGAAGCTGGATTTGCTTATATTTTATAAACTTTGATAGATGTTAAAACCCAAACAGACATCTGGAACAGCATCTTCTCATTGAAGAGAAGCTCCTTCCCACTAACCTTCCTCCTTCCACTCCCAAGCAATACAGCCTGGCGCCATGCCAAATGCCGGAGGGTGTCCCGCTGGACAACCAGCTGCTCCTCAGGATCGGTGCAGGTCTCCCGTAGGTTTTGAGTCACATATACTAGCCCTGAGCAGGACTGATCCCTCTTACCACCTTCCCTTCCTATTTTAGACAACAAAAATAGTTTTCTCCACAGGGCTGCAATTCTGGGTAAAAACACAAGAGGGTGAACCATGCCCAGACATTTAACTGCGTCGGTTTTTCATTTCTTCTACCTGTATGAGTGGCTTCTGCTTTTCCTAGAAATTGAAGTTCTGGGCCTGCCCTGCCCTGATTTTAACACTTGCCTCCACAGAATTTCTTAGCCAATAATGGGTAAATAAATAATCACTACATATAGAAACAGCTTGGTAGCAGTTTCTTCTCCTTCATCGTGTCATCCTGTCTCTGTTGGCCAAATTACTGTCATGTCAGAGCAATCTATACCATCAAAATAAGGCAATTTATGGTTTCCAGGACATTAACGACTACTTCTGGTAGCCTCGATTTTTTACCTGCCTGAAGTTCAGTTTCATCATCATGACTCTATACCACTATTTAAGGTTCCTACAATCACAGCAATATTTGTAGAAAGCGTAATTCAAACCAAAGCTGAGTAAGAATTTCCTGAGAAACCTCTGTTTTCCTCAGAAAATACTGACCTATAAAACCTCAGTTCTCTTACAGGAGGATACATAATTTTGGCAAAACTCTTACGGGTTTTCAGGGATATTTTCCAAGCTTTAATTTCTGCTTACAACCAATCCACACACACACTTCCTTTTTCCTCCCTCTGTCTCTGGCCCAATGAATATTTCAAGAGGAATGATTTTATTATCAGAGGTTTCTGACAGTTCCCTCCCCAAAGAGCCAGCTTTTATGCTCTGAGTATCCAGCTATGGATATCCAGCAGCAGGAGCTGGAAGAGATTTTCTGCATCATGAGGTGCCACCCTGGAGCACCATGCATCCCGCTGGGCTGCTGGGGGTATCCAGGTATTAACCTTCACACTTCCACAGGGAATTTCAAAAGATTCTGCTTCCTTATTGATGTGGAATAGAAGAAATAGCAGGTGAGATAAAATGCTACCTGGACGATCCTGTTTCTCAATACAGACTTCAAGGAGAGCTTGGGTCACTCCACTTAGTTGTTCATGTCCCTGGAAAGGCTGAGATGCTTCTGAATATGAGTTTCCCATATACACGTGAGGTAAAAGCAATATGACTTTCACTGAGATCCAGTACGTCAAATAACATTTTTCTCCATTTTCTGACTGTATTTTCACGAACTTATTTTTCATGCTGATGCCCTGAGAGTTGTTTCCTTTGTGATACTAGCATATGCTTTTTCGTATGTGCTGAAGTTACATCCTACATCTACAGGATTGTGCTACTTTTTAGGTCTAGTTCAGGCGAGAATCTAGTAACACTGAGAATTTCTTACAATTTCTGTTCTGGTTCCAGATATATTCATAAGAAACACATGTGCTAAGAGATGATAAGAGCAACTGCTATGGTACAAGTCCAAGCCTTATCTGTGGAGAATGATGTAAGAGCTCTTCAGCAGTTCACTTACTGACAAGGACTTTAAAGAAAAAGTTTTGAACAAATATTATAAAGTAACTTTAACAATCTTGTGGCTTATGAAGAAAGAACATTTTTGATATTTAAAAAGTACCAACTGCAGTAGTCACGTCATCTAATTTGGCTGTCTGAGAATCAACCTCTGGGCTAATGAAGATGGAAGATCTTTCACTTTCAGTATCACAAAGTCTTGCTGAGAGTCATGGGCCTAAATCTTCCCTGTTTTTCTCCATCTATTGTTATGATACAGAGAACAACTCTTCCATAAATCTTGCCTCACTCATGTCCTTGACATATCACACCTACAATAACAACAGGTTAAGCAGCTAAAGTTAAAACTTTATACTAGATGGAAAGCAAGGGTTGGAAACCTTGACATGCCATTAGAAATTCGTGTTGTCAG